CAAGCAAGTTCCCAGAAGTTAGCACTTGGAGTTTAGGAGAGAAATAGGGACTGCCATCATGAGGATTTGCTTCAGCGTTTCAGTCTGAGGGGCTCACCTAGTGGATTCTTCTCTTGGTATCATGTCTGGAACTACTGCAAGAGCCGGACCAATTTGGAAATGCCCAAGGTAATTCAGAACGCCTGAAGTGGTGGACTTGAATCTTCTGCATGAGAGTTAAGTAAAATAGCTCCCTGCTCCTCTCTCCACCACCCACCCAGGGCAGGAGTTTCCCTAGCTAACACAGGCCTCAGCAATTGCCCAAGGAGTTTCTCTATTTCGAGTCATGTTTATCAGAGTCTCACATGGGAAGCCTGAGTTGGTTCAAAGTCCAGATGCGGGCTGAGAAATTTTGTGTATCATAAGGTTGTGAGATGTTCCAAATGCCAAGCCAAGCAGAAGATGCTTTGAAATTTCTTCATTTTATATCTTTGCATCCTCTCACTTTCGCTTAAACCAGCCTGTTGGCAAAGCATCACTGCCCTGTCCCCCGCCTTTTTTTTTTTTTGGTAAGAGTTTGCCTACCCATTTGTGGGCATATGATTCAATCAGCTAACATTCACAGAGTGCTTAAATGTGTTTAGTTCACTGGTAGGAGCTTTGGAGGTTAAAACAAGTTTTTGTGACCTCACGAGACTTGAATCTGAGTAGAGAGATAAAGCTTTAACTGATGAAATAATAAAATGCTTAAATGTGTATATTTTGCCATAAGTGTGTTAATTCAGAGCGAGATAAACCACGATGGAGAGAAATGTTTAGTGGAGACTTCACAAAGAAAGTGATATCATTGCTGCTGATTGAAGGATGGGTAGGATTAAGATAAGTAAAGGATTATGAAGAATTCATTGCAGGGGCGGCAGCCGAGTTAAACTTGAATGGGCATAAAGGCGCAGAGGCAGGAAAGACGAGGCCGACTAGGTCTGTCCTTACTATCTGTGCTCCAGGAAACACTGCCTACCACAGTGGTTCTCAAACCTTAGTGTACATCAGTATCTCTTGGAGGGGCTTGTTAAAGCACAGATTTCTGGGGCCCATCTCCAAAATTTCTAAGGGATGAGGCTTGGGAATTTGCATTTTTAATAAGTTCGCAGGTGACACTGATGTTGCTGGTCCAGGGCCCAGGCTTTGAAAACCACTGGTCTAGACTCTGTTATATCTGGATGGTTCACCACTCTGTAAATTTTATCTGGAAATGATCCTGCAAATTGTTTCTCTCAGCAATATCCTTTGTTCTGCTTTTCTCCACTCTGAAGTTTATCGTCCTCTCATTCATGTTTTTACATTGTTCAATCATACCTTTCCTTCCCAATGCCACCTTATTCCCACAATCCTTATGGCAGCAACCAGATTGAGTTTGATTATTTCTTGCCTTTTTTGTTGTGGTGGTTGTAAGCTGATTTTAGATACTGTGACCTTTAGCCAAGCTAAACTTTAAGATTTTAGAAGGAAAAAGTGAATTATGTTATCCGTTTTCGCCTTCTACTTTACTTTCTTATCTCCTACTGATTCATTAGTAAATGAAAGTGGTGATGTCAGGGACCTGATTTCCATTTTGTGTTCAACACATGTTAATTTCCCAAGGAAAAGCTTATTTGCTTTGGAATTATCTCTCTTTGATGAAATGATTACCAAGTGGGTAGCTGTGTGACTGTTAGAGTAGTTCTGATAATTGCATGTTGATTTAAGGCTTTATGTATTAAATAATTAGATTGCAGTTGACCCTTGACAGAACCTTTGAATTCCTTTAGTTTTATCAGCAATCATAGTTTATGACAAATTTAAAAGTAGCCAAAACCCATTGTAACTTCTTTCTATGAATAATGAAAGGAGTTGGTAACATACAGTAGGTAGTCATATAGTTGGTGAATGAACAAATAAATGTATTCTGAATAAATTCATAAATGATTTTTATTTGTTCTATGAAACTAAAACAGACATAGTTCTGTGAAATATAGGCATGGTTATTTTGTATCAGTTTTAAGATTGGCAGGCTACCAAATGTTAATTTGCTTTTAGCTAGTTGAGATTAAATGTAATTCCTTCCCTGAGCAACCCTAAAGTAAGCAAGCGTGAAAGCATTTTCAGAGTAATCTTGAAGGAATTGACATTTAAAGGAGTTAGCATTACATCTGTACTTTAAGGCTATTAATTTCATAGATAAATTAACTTCATTATTCCATCTTTATCTTGCATTTTGAAAGGACTCCATCAGCTGGACGACTGACAACCGAGGGTCAATTGAAACTGCTCTTATCCCAGCCAGGTTGTAATTGGAACCTGCTTCTGGAAACCCTACTGCATTGTGATGGTTTTTTACTGAGAGTCTTGCTAAAGAGCTCAAGTGAGTATTTGTAGTTATGAGACTGTCCTCAAAAAACCCAGTCATTGTTTGAGTTGAATGAAATTTTTTTCCCAATCGAATGTTGGCAGAGGAATGTAAATCAACTGCATTATATCAACAGTCAGTGGGGTTCGCAGCAGGCAAAATATTGAATTGCTTTATAAACCTATTGGAAAGAATTTTTTTCAGGGACTCTGAATGAGGGAAAACAATATTTTTATATAACACTCTTCTATCATAACTACCATTATATAGAAATATAGAAATGTATCAATATCTGGGTTTTGAAATGCCTACAAAAATTATAGGAACACAGTTACATATCCAAAACTGAAGTATCAATTAGACTTAAGAAGAGAAAGATGGAGAAAGAGAGGGACTGCATTGGAACCATACTAGAAATTTCAGTAGATTGTGAAGAGTGCTTATATAACTTACAAACAAGCAAGCTGCGGCTTACAGCCGTATCCATTGGGGCATGAAGACATAATCATGGAAAATTATGAATAGAAATTGAGGAATAATGGAAGACCATACTTCTCTTAATCAGACTTTCTTTTTTTCATTGTAAGTGCTATTTTAGAAAACAGTAGGTAATGTTATACCAATCTAATGTTATATCCCACTGCCCTCTTGCTATGCCTGTGAAGAGTTTTCAAACCATTTTCTCATACCTCTACACTTTTCTCCTTCTATACTGCACATGACGTCAGATTAATTTTATCAATCACTAGTTTCACTTTCAGTGTCTCATCGCCTGCAGGACCAAATCCATGTCCTTCAGCCATTCAAATATGACCCTGCACTAGTTTTCTAATCTTGTTTCCCACTATTCCTTTGTGCGCATGCGCACACTCACATGCACACGCACACGCACACACACACGCACACCCATTTCAGCCATTGTCCCCAGAGCGCTGTGTATGTGTTCCCTGCACACGTTCGCTCACCCATTTTTCTTACATGAAAGACCTTTTATACGCAGCTCGGTTTCCACCAGTCTGCAAGGGCCAGCAGTGTCAGATCTTTGAAAGCTCCAGCTCACACTGATCTCTTCCTCCCCTGAACTTCACAGTATCCCTTATTTTGGCTGTGTATTCACTCTTTGCATACTCTGCCTTATATAGTTATGATATTTGTATATGAATGAGGCAGATGTCACCAGAACTTACCAGCTTGTTAACATAAAAAGGAAGTTCAGAGCAGTCCCCAGTCCAGATCACTACAGTAATTTCTGAGAATGTCTAATTTCTCAGATCTGCTCATGACCAGTTCCCCATGTTCTTCTCTTCCATCCATCTTAATGTTTGTTTCCCAAAAGCCACTCAGAAAGAGGTGCCTCTCTGCTGAGACCTTTTGGGAATACTGCTTCTCCCCGATGCTCTCAAATCCATAAAGATCTATGGTGCCAAAGGTCACCACAACTTCTCAAGCCTCACCGTGGTCCATGCAGCAGTTTGCAGATTACCCCTCTCCCAAACTCTGAATCTGACTTTATTCCCTTAGACCCCAAGCAACACTGTTCATGCTTCACATCTCAGAAAGTTCACTTGAAAGAATTTCTTTAGCTTCAGGCTGTAACTCCACTCTCCTAAAGGGAAAACGAATGCTAGGAAAACTGCTTCCTCAAGTAGCCAATATTTATTGTTGACTTATTTAGGTGTCGGGCACTGTGCTAAGCACTTTACACTTGTTATCTAATTTGATTCTTGTTATAACCTTATAAAGTATATACTTTTGTTATCCTCATATTAAAAATAACGACATTAAAGATTAAGACAATGGTACTTACCCAGAGATACACATAACTGATAGATATATGGTGGGCAGAACTGGATTTTGAATCAAGCCAGAGCTCTGCCCGCTGCCCTTTCTGTACTAATATTCATGCATATTAAACTCTGGAGAGAACTATCTGGAAGAATTGTAATCTGTACACTCTCAGGTTGGATGGACCAGAACACCCTGATGCATGTGCATTTAACTGATCTTTCCTGTTATGTAGTTAGGGCTGATCATAGATTTTTATATTCCTCGTCAAGCTAGAACAGTGCTTTGTATAAAAAAAAGGAAAAAGAAAAAGAAAAAGTCCAGTGATTGACCAGTCAATGATCAATTAGGACTTAAATATGAAGCAAGGTGGCTATGTGAGTGACATGGGTAGTATCTGAGACAGCTAGAGAGTTCCTTTAACATGACCATTGAAACTCACAAACATGGTCCCAGAGGAGAAATTGTCTCTTATTGATAGGGTTATATAGACTAGTCTAGAAAATCAGTTGAGATCAACCTTTTGACTATACCGATATGGCCACTAAGTAGAGGAAGAACAATTGTAGTCGTGAAGATTTAATCACATTTTCTTACAAATAAATCCCACATTTACTTATCAAAAGTATTAGATTCACTTCTACTATCTACGAAAGATTTACAGTTATCAAAGTTAGCATATTGTATCACCTTCAGTTTGGTTCTTGTGGGCTGCACAAGTGTATTTACCCAATCTGCTCAAATACCCATCATTTTTTCCCCCAAAGACCATTAGGTGTTTGATTGGGGTTATATAGCCACTCTGGTGTTGTCTTGTATTGATTTATTAGCTACTTTAAATATTATAAGGATGAAGTGACATAATTACTAATCAATTGATTGACTGACTTATTAATCTCCAGTAGAATTTTATCACTTTAAGTTAGAAACAATATATTCATGAATCTTACTAACCGGACTAAGATGAAAACTATTATGTAACAAAAATAAGTTTGTAATGTTTTTTGCAGAGATTTCCTTTTCATTTGTTTAGAACTCTCAAGAGTATTTCAGAACACCATTCGGTAATTTAGAAGTTTGATCATATTTTTAGGAAAGCAAAACTTTAAAGTAAAATATGCTGAATTAGATATTTCAAGCAACATAATTATCAGCTTTTTTATGGAAGCATTTTTTTTTTTAATAAAGAATGTCTTTTTCGGTCTAATTGATAAAATTTAACTTTGTGTTAAATTGGCTCATGAATAAGAATAAAGAGATTTTAAGTACATATTTTATTACACATATTTTAAAACAAGGGTCTCTTCATTCAATGAGCAGTTATTAAATTCTGTTAGGTACAGAATTTTTTTGATAGTCATATACTATAAAGATTAAAACATATGGGGTTTTTTTATATTGAGAGTGATGTCTGTAGCTTTTGGTTTTACTCTATGAAAATGATTTATCAGAATTTCTATTTATTTTAAAAGAATCAGCAGAATATATATGGTAGGACTATCTTGTAATATTGAGATGCAATTTCACTGAGGATGAGAAAACAGCAAAATTAAACAAATGAACTGTAAAATTTTAATTTATGATATAGGCTTCCTAGGCTATCTCTTCTAGGAAGTAGAATCATGTTTTTGCCATGTATAATAATTCCTCCTGTATAAAAATATGCAGTAGTTTGAAGGATCAATTACACTGCTAAAATTTGATTAAAATAAACTGATTTCACCTGGTAGGTGGTTTATAACATTCTTTGGCTACAGTTCAGTTGGCATGAGAAGGTAATGTCTGTTGGTTTTATTTTTAACTTAGGCCATCTTAAATTTGAAGGTAAAAAAAAAGCTCTACAAATGTTTACAGAAGATTTTAAAATTGTAAGACACTATTTTGGATTACTGACTTTAAAATCCCAGGGCAATTGTTTTGGTAATTACCTCACTGAGGCCACATGGACTAAGCAGTTTCTTACATGTGGTATCAAAGGAACAAATATTTGGCAATTTTCCAATTGTTAGCAGGTGGCCTTTTCCTGCTGGTGACATTTGGATGAAGTGTGACTAACATTCTTTCCTTTGCCCATTATCGCAACAATGATTTCCAGTGAAACTGCTTAGCTTCTTGTAATTTGCAGTTGTAATATAATAACAACAAACTAGCAAATACATAATATTTAATGTGTTCCAGACATTGTTTCTAAGGGCTTTAAATGTATTCACTCACTGAATTCTCATAACAGCTTTATGTAGGATATCATTATCGTCTCCATTTTACAGGTGAGGAAACTGAGACACATAGAAATTAAGTCACTTGTCCAAGTCACATCCTCTTAAGTGGGAAAGCAAGATGTGATCCAGATGGCTGGCTTCCAGAGACTGCTTTCACCTACCACACTACACGACATCCAAGCCAGTTTGCACAATTCATGGGAGCTATCTGGAGCCTCTTGAATGAATAATTTTGATAGTACATTTTGTACTTTTATCCTTGTAACAAAGTGCCTAAAGTTAATCAAGAAACAAATCAGCAGAAAATTCTAGCTAAAGGGCTGCTACCTCTACCAAGCAATGGTTGACTTAAAATGAAAAAATCAATTCGAATTCTCCTATTTTATAGTTAAAATTTTCCTGATCTTTGGAGTCACAGAAGGCATATAATGACAGAACCTTGGTATTTTGTTATTCAGTGGTGTGTGTGTGTGTGTTATTTTATTTTGTAAGTATGACAAAGTGATGACCAAAATTAAAATATGCTCCCTCGTGGTGTCTTTAGTGCACCTAACGTTGATATCGTAGGCTGCTTTTGCTAGTGATGACATCTGCACTCTGACTTGTTCAATCTTTTCTTCTTTGCTGGATTTGTACCCCGTTCCTACTGGGAACACTAGAACCATATTTGTGCATAAGCGTCTTAAGGAAAAAGGCAGTTGCTCCAACACCAGTGACCTTTCAGTTGTCCCACATATGTACCAAGTTCTTTTCACCTATAGAACCTTTGAAATATTGTTTTTTGTACTTAGAATCTTCTTCATTTCCATTTCCTGGCAACTATTAGTCATCTTTTAGCTTAAATATTACTTCCTAGGAAGTCATCTTTGATGGTCTCATAAGATCCCACTGTAATTGCTTTTGTAACCCTTGTCATAATTTTAAGTGAAAGATTAATTGACATAATTGTGTAGCCAATGTCTGTCTCAGCCACCGCGAATTCCAGGAGGGCAGGGACAGCTCACCATTGTA